ACTACATAACATATAGCTTCCAATAAACAGGAAAAGGATTCTCCTTTTTCCATCTAGCTGAATCTTAACATTCTTGATCCAGAATAAATCCTATTAAATAGCACACATCTTGAATACTTGTTAAAAAGAATAGGCTGCTCATAGTCGTATCTCATTTTACCATGTAATCTTCATGTTTTTATGTTCTTCATACCAAGTATTTTATAGAATTCGATACATTTAGCAAAAAAATGTAATTTAGACCTACTAACTTGAAAGCCTCTGTGTATGTTAAATGCGGTAAATATAAACATAAACTTCAAAATCATCTTGAATTTAGTACTCTTATCCTCTTGTTTGAATGTGGAGACTAGAGTTCAGAGAGGTTAAGTAATCATCTAAGGACACATAAGAGAGGGGATCTGAACCCAAGTTTATTTGTCTCTAAACCCATGACCTTTACTGAAATCTACATCCCTTCATAAGCTCTATACTGTAGACAAAAAGAGACCCACAGCGTGATAATATTATTCATGATATATACATTATTATAAACTAAAATCAACTAGGAGTTTTCTATTTTTTTATTTTTTTTAAAGATTTTATTTTTTTGTTTATTCATGAAAGACACAGAGAGAGGCAGAGAAGCAGAGACACAGACAGAGGGAGAAGCAGGCCCCATGCAGGGAGCCTGATGTGGGACTCGATCCCAGGACTCCAGGGTTATGCCCTGGACCGAAGGCAGGTGCCAAACCACTGAGCCACCCAGGGATTTTTTACTATGGAGTTTTATAATAGAAGCTCTTAAGGAACATGTAATAGAAAGTATAAGATAAAGTAAAAATTGATTCATTAAGAGAGTTAAAACTAAAGTGCTACAATACTTCATATACGTTACAAGGTGGAAATTGAGGGGAGTGACTTAGGGATGACAATTGGGGAGATTGCTTCAGGGAGAGGTGTGGAGGATGTGCAGAATGTTGACAGAAGAAGAAAAACATTCTATACAAAAAAGTGATCACAGGATAAGTAAAGTCAGAAGCAAGACTGCAGGAGGTTCGGGCAGCCCAGGTGGCTCAACAATTTAGCACCACCTTTGGCCCAGGGGATGATCCTGGAGACCTGGGATGGAGTCCATTGTCAGGCTCCCTGCATGGAGCCTGCTTCTCCCTCTGACTGTGTCTCTGTCTCTCTTTCTCTCTCGGCCCCCGCCCCCCAAAAAAAAAATTTGTCTCTCTCATGAATAAATAAATAAAATCTTAAAAAAAAAAAAAAAGACTGCATGAGGCTCAGGGAGTAGTTATGTTCAGGTAAAAGCCTGTAGTTTCTGGTCTGATGTTTAAAGTAAATTTATAAAGGAGAATAATGAAAATGAAAAGTAAGACTGACAGCAGTTAAAGATTGAGAGGGCTTCAAATCTGCTTCTAATCAACATTTGAATCTTTTTTTTTTAATTTATTTATTCATGAGAGATGCAGAGAGGGAAGCAGAGACACAGGCAGAGGGAGAAGCAGGCTCTATGCACCAGGAGCCAGCCGTGGGATTTGATCCTGGGTCTCCAGGATTGCGCCCTGGGCCAAAGGCAGGCGCCAAACCGATGCGCCACCCAGGGATCCCTAATCAACATTTGAGATGCAAAAGGAAGATATGGTCATGCAGACCTAGTTTATTATATATTCCATCTAATTTCAATCTGATTTTTATATAACTTATTTTTTGACCAACATATATAATCTCTAGGCAACCATAATACATAAAAGTAGTTATTTCGACAATGTATTCTCTCTGTAACACTTCTGTGAATGTTTTCATCTGCCAATTTTATCAACAAACACACACTTCCCATCTTTTGAACACTAATGAGACCAAGAAAAATAAGCCCTTTTCTACCTGCCTTTTCACCAGACTGATTTTAACGATTGTTTTCTCGCTCTTGACTCTGGTCTCAAAGAAAAAAAAAAAAAAGGAAGAAAAAAAGAAAAGAAAACAATGAAGAAAAATCTTCCCTCTTAAGGCACTCCTCTCAAATTAAGGCACCCCTCCCACCTAAACTCTAGAACCAATCCGTCATCATCCTCTAGAAGCTGATTCCTATATTTTCCTCCCTTTATTGCAGGATATACAAAGCAAATTCCAATGTCAGAAGCAGGTCATAGATAAGACTTGGGTGTGAAATAGTTTATATTGAAGATCAATCATAACATCCATCTAATTATACTGTCTTTCAAAACAAAACACTCGGACAAGATGAAACTTCTCCATAAACCATATATAGCCTTTTGGCCTGCCACTTTTCAACCATTTACTATATATCTATAAAGCCCTATCTTTCTTTATTCTGTTTACACCTCTTTCACATTAGACCTAGTATTTTGATTAAATGAGCTATGTTCACCAGGGAAGAAAGACATGTAAATGATTCATTATAATAAAATATGTTCAATATTGTAATACTATTACAATACTATAGCTATATAATGGTGCTATGGAAAGGAAGGAGTTATTTAGGACAAATTCTCCAAAGATTGACATGAAGCTTAATCTTGATAGATATTTAGGAGTTTTCTAGGCACTCTAAAGAAGAAAAGGGCATTCTAGCTCAAAGAAATAGAATATGCTTGATTTAGAGGTATTAAAGAGTAGGATGTTAAGGAATTGCCAAGCACTCCTGTACAAATAGAGGACAGGCACATGTATGAATGAAGATGGAGATGAAATTAGAAAAAGGAGCAGGGTTAAGATCACAAAGGGCTATAGGATCCCATTTCAAAGGTTTAAGGTGGGGAATCAGCAAGATCTATGGTAACAGTGTAGAACAGGCCATGAGCAAGGTTAGAGAGTGAATACCTAGAGACTACCTAGGAGGCTCTGGCAATCACAGGTGTGTTTAATGACTAATTAAGGGAGAGAGTTGAGAGGTAAGAGAAATAATCAACAGAACTTTAATTCCACTGGATATGGAGAAATCAGTAATATTTTAGAATCTCTGGCATAAGCCATGCAGAGAACAAGCTAGCTTCAGTTCACATTAAAGTAAGCTCAAGATTCTTTTAAAGCCCAAAACTCTATTTAACCCCACCCTCCTACATCTAGCCTCCAATTTAATACAGACCCTCATTGATTCACACACAAGTCTCCTAGTAGCCCTGGAAACAAATCTCTATCCTAATCCAGTATTTCTCAAAGCATGCTCTTCAGTATACCTTAAGAGGATCTCCTGAGGTGCTTGATAAATATGTAGAGTTCTTGGCCCTATCCTAGACCCCAAGAAGGACAAAATTTGCATTTTTATACACTTTTTAATTTTAGAACAATTAGTCTAATGCAGCCTACCTGCTACTATCATATTTATTTTTCTCAAACCCTGCTTCCTTCATGTCACTTCCTTGTTCAAACTAATTTCTAATCTTCAAACTGGACTTCAAGAATCTCTTTCAACTTAATTTTTCAAGCTTTCCAATATATATTCTCAACAAAGTCAACTTCATCTCTTGTTTGCCTCTTATCCACCCCCTATGCACACAGTTTGGTTCCTTCTCTAGGCCTCTGCATCAAATATTTCCACAACCTGAGAGCTGCTTTTGGTCTCACCTCCCATATCAAATCCAAGCCATAATAATTAAGGATTCTCAAAAATCTAGCTTAAATTCAGAAACTTACATGAACTTTTCTCTAATTATTCTATGCCTACTTCTCTCTCCTGCTTATGAATTCCTACTACACTTACAATCAGCATGCACAATTTAAAGATTGACTCTTTCTATATATATTGTTATATATGGAAATATATATATTATTATATATATAAACTATAATGTCTTAATCTTATTTTCCAGTCTTCAATGAATCTAACACAATCCTTGGCACATATTAAGGACTAAAGAAATATTTGCTAATGTTTGAAATTACCTCAAAATACTGATGGCGTTTTTCTCCTGGATGTCACATAAATTTAAAAAGAAAAAACGACTAAATCAATTTTTAAAAGAAAAAAATATTAAATACATTCACTATTCTGAATAATATGGTACTTGATAATGGTAAAGATGTCTTCTGCCCTGGTATCTAAAGAAAGACTGCTTAGTCATGAAGACAAGGTATTTACAAATACCTCTCAATTTTAATACAGGACATTTTTGGTGTATTACATAATAGTATATCATGTCATTATGGCAATGAAATATAGTGCCTTGAGTATAAAATCTCTAAAAGACATGGGGGCACCTGCGTGGCACAGCTGGTAAAGCATTCAACTCTTGGTTTCAGCTAAATTTGTGATATCAGAGTTGTGGGATCGAGCCCAGCACTTGACTCTGCACTGAGCACAGAGTCTGCTCAGGTTTCTCTCTCTCCCTCTTCCTCTCCGTCTGCCCCTCCGTCCACTCATGCTCTCTCTCTTTAAAATAAATAATCTTTTTTAAAATCTCTAAAATTCAGCAACAAAAAGACCCTTAAAAAGTAATGTACACCAAACACTTCAATTTCTCCATTTAATACCTGAACCTCAAACAAATTACATGATGTGCCCAAAGTTATACAACCAATTAGTAGTATCTAACGAAGACAAAGACCTAGGCCTCTTTGCACATCAAATGTTGCTTTCATTACACTATGAAATCAAAGTGAGGTACTAAAATTAAAGTGAGATACTTAAACAAGAATTCCTGCAAACAGAAACCAAACTATGAGGAGTCTCTCTCTGCCATCCTAAGACACTGAGGTAAAACACTAAATTTCCTCAGAATCATAAAACTGAATCATAAAATTATAAGCTTAGGTATAACTCTAAAAAATAAATAAAACTTTCTAAAATAAAATATACAAGCATATACCAGTTCTAAAACATTTCCAAAAAGCACAGGAAAAATACTTACCATAGCCTACTTCTCATCACCTGATATTAATCATCTCACTACTTTGTAAAATATACTCCAAAAGAAAAACCAAATATAAGCAAAACTCGCTCAATTTCCAAAAGCAAAAATTCATATCTAAGGGTAAAATACATCTTTTGTACTCACCATAACTTTACTTCCAACTATCTGCAAGCAGTGGTCAACGGAGAGTGGTTATGGTGTGTAAAAAAAAAATAAATAAATAAATAAATAAAATAAAAAAAACACACAATAGCAACAATATTAGAAATCAGAAGCTTTTCACATAAGTGTTTAGTAAATAGCTAGCTATATGTATACATTTAATACTTTAGATCTAGAGGCTAAAACAAATATACCAGTATTAATTTCTATCATATTTCAAAAATATGTAGTCTGCAAAATAAGGATTCCCAAAAAAAAGACTATTACTGTTTGAGGATTTTTTAACTGTATTGTAATAGCCTAATATAGTATAATCTAAGTATCAACTGATGTAAAATTACATGTAACCAAGCATCAGAAATTTTACCAACCCACAGCTACTCAAAAAACTTACCAATAAAAACTGAATTTTTTCTTTCCTCATTACAACAGATATATTAAGGCTGAAATAAGGCCCTTTAGAATATAAATGTTGCATTTAAAGTCACGCATTAAGAAAGGAGATCTAGGTTGAAAATGAATATTTTATATTATGATTTTAAGGTTTTTAATATTGTTTTGTATTATACTTGAAAATTATGAAGAAGATAGATTGCTTATGATTCTAGTTGTCTAGGTCATGCAAACATTTGTTATTAAAAGATCAGATAATATATAACATGAAGACAAAGAAGCAATTATATGTGAGCATGCACATCTTCATAAGGAGGTAACAGTTCAAAAACTGAAACTTTAATTGAGCTTTCCTAATAGTTAAGAGATAATTGAATTTCTGAGAAGCTGAATTCTGTATAAGAAAGCAAGAAGTAGGTGCAGCCTGGGTACCTCAGCGGTTTAGCACCACCTTCAGCCCAGGGCATGATCCGGGAGACCTGGGATTGAGTCCCATGTCAGGCTACCTGCATGGAGCCTGCTTCTCCCTCTACCTGTGTCTCTGCCTCTCTCTCTCTCTCTCTGTGTCTCTCATGAATAAATAAATAAATCTTTTTTAAAAATATATTAAAAAATAAGAAAAAGAAAGCAAAATTGAAATCATAGTCCTAACATACTGTTATGCCTAAGCCCAATTATAAATCAAATCGTTATCAGATTCCTACACTTAAGTATCAGGCAATGTCCAAAAAAGAACTAATCTACAATCTAAAACCATTAATATTACAGCAGTTATTATCAATATTATCAATATTAACCAGCTAGTACTTTTTTTTTCCAGATAGTACTTTAAAAAGAAAAATAAAATACTGAAATCTCAGGAAGCATCCTAAGTTTTAAACAGGACACAAAAAGACAATGACAGTTGCCAAGCAAATTATTTCAGAGGAATACATGAATCTCCAAATAGATAAGCAGCTTTCTTAAATATTCATTCAATAGACTATTTAGAGGCAGTGATTGAATAAAAGCCTCTCTGGTGCCATTAACAGTCTTCTGAATTGAAAGATATGCTATAGACCTAACTTACTTCCCAACCAAAAAGACAGAGGTCTTCTCTATCTCTTGTTTATACAGCACAGACATGAGACTAAAACAAGAATGCAAGCCTGTCTTAATTAAGGCAAGTCTATACTTAGTGAGACAACCAAAGTATAGCCCATTAGTAATTCATTATGATTACAAAACGATTCTATTTAGCTAAAGCTCATATAGTGACCAGATTGGCTAAGGGAAGCTAAAAGAAACATGTCTGGTCATGTTTGACTTCAAATGTTTCACCAGAGAAAGAAAATATCTGCTAATAGCAAAAGCTAAACTATAAGACATGTATACACACATAGAGAGATGTTCTGCAACTTTCAAATGACAAGGTCTGTAACTTATATGTGTTGAACTAAAAATTCTACAGATATATTTGGTGTCACTATTTTAAATTATTTCCTATTAAGATTTTCTTCTAATTAATGATTCCTCTCAATGGGTCATGTGTCTTCAAAAATGTAACTTCACATATTTTAAAATCTCAACTTAAAAAATTGTTGAGTTACAAATAAACAAGTTAGATTTAAGTTAGTAATAAACTAGTTTCTTAATATTCTAAAAAAGACAATGGCTTTTGGCAAATTGTTAGGATTTCAGTGACTTATTTTTCCTAAGATAGAACAAATAGGATCCCCAAAATCACTGAGATATCATGCCTCTTTCAGGATTATGAATATGGGTGACAAAGTTTATATTATTAACAAAGCTTGGTTTTCCATCTCTGAAAATACATGCTGGTGTTTTGAAAATCTAAATTCTTCCAGATTTTTGTGGCTAAATTATGACCATGTGCCAACTACTGTAGGTCAGGTCTATAACCACACTTGATATAATGAGCAAATGAGTCCACCCTGAGCAGAGAAGAGGTTCTTCTCCACTCATTCATCACCGAGAGGCCTTTTCTAGCTACTTTTTCCTTTAACACTCACACAATTCAATATTCTCTAACATGGAACCTTAACAAGAAAACACTAGGCAATAGCTTTTTCATCAGTATCTTTTAATTTCCTATATATTTTTATTCCAAGCTTGTTTTAGCAAAAATAGTTACATAGCAAAAGAATTCTCTGCTTTACTTTGTGCTGAGTGTGGAGCCAGACATGGGGCTCGATCTCATTACCCATGAGATCATGACCTGAGCTGAAACAAAGAGTTGGACACTTAACAGACTGAACCACCCAGGCGTGTCCCTCCCCAGTAAAGATTTTTAAATAGTTTGTTTTTCCACATTAAAGCATGTTATACATTTTTTAACAAAAACTTAATAATCACACACATTTGTCAATTTTTTAATCACCAAGCATCAGAACCTCTGTACCAAATATCTTTAATTCATTCCTCCAGATAAACTCTTTACCCTTCTTCATCTGTTATCTGCGCTACCAGTATAGCTGTATGCACTTTATTAACAGGTTTATATCTCTCTAGTTTCTAGTTAGGTTTCTCTAATAAGGAACCCTAGGAAATTAGAATGAGGTAGGGGAATGATGTGAACGTATATTTCCATTGGCTCTCTCCCTGAAAGATTGTCCCGAGCTGGCTGTCTTCAATTAAAACCACTGTTTCTTGGTCAGTGTTCCTTTGTAGGCTGCGAACGCTACCAAAATAGCTTAGGTGAAAATGAATTTTATTGGTTAAATCTGCATTTCCTAGTATTGTTTAATTTGTAACCACGGCAAAGCCAACCATTATTTCACATTGCTGTTCCTTTGTCCATTTTTCTGTTAGGTCATGGAATTGTGGAGTTTCCCTAAAAATTCAGAATAACATTCTTTGGGGGTTGTATGCATTGCACCTAACTTCTTTCACTCTTTGCTTGTCTTTTAAGTTCATTTATGAATCCTTTGTAATAAAATTTTACTTTTAATTCAATACTAAAAAAAAAAAAATTCTCTGCTTTAAAAACCGGTCTTGAGCACAAACCTGTGTATTAGTTTCATCTTGCTTTACTGTCTGTACCCAGGAACCCAGGAGAATGATGGACATTCCCTACTGAGTTCATATTTTGTTTATTTTTCAATTCTATGCAAAATGATAAATGCAAGTGCTAAACGGGGAGATATATAATTTATGTTTAAAAGTAACTATAATTCTCACGTTTTATATGTGACTACAAAACATTCTTCCTCAGGAACACTAGCCCTTTATTTTTACGTCCAGACTAAAGTTTGGACTACATTTAAAGTATTTTCATGAAGAAGTGATTACAATCATATCTACTTTAAATGAAGAAACATTTTTTAAGGCTGACTTATTTATTAGCAACAATCGCGCCTAGGATAAAACTCATTGGCTACGAAACAGCCACTGCGCAAAGCTGAGACTGATTTATTTACTTTAGAGACTCTGCACACACACAAATGACTAGGGAGAGGGAGGGAGAGGATTTAAAGCAATGCCACATTGAAGGCAGAGCTGGATGTAGAACTCAATGCTATCACTCTGAGGTCACGAGCTGAGCTAAAAACAAGAAACAGAAGCTCCATTGACTGAACTACCCAGGTGCACCAACTAGAAAACATTATTAAATAGTATATCAATATAATAAAATAGTACAAGATATACAAGGCATATCTAAAGCCTATTGAAAGCAGGATGGAAACCTTAAGTTAAAACTAGGTAAAGAGGGGCGGAGCAAGACGGCAGAGGAGAAGGGTCGCCAAGTGACCTATCCCCACCAACTTAACTACATAACTTTCAAATCATCCTGAAAACCTACGAATTCAACCTGAGATTTAAAGAGAGAACAGCTGAAACGATACAGAGAGAAGAGTTTGCACTTCTAACAAGTACAACTCATTTCTAGCCACTCTGCACTAAGCAAAATGTTTAGACAAAACAACTCCCCACAAAAGAAAGAATCACAAACAGTATACTCTGCCACAGAGTTACAGAATTTGGATAATAATTCGATGTCAGAAAGCCAATTCAGAAGCACAATTATAAAGCTACTGGTGACTCTGGAAAAAAGCATAATGGTATCGAGAGACATCATGACTGCAAAATTTAGATGTAATCTGACGGGAATTAAACATTAATTAAATGAGATGCAATCCAAACTGGAGGTCCTGACGATGATGGTTAAGGAGGTAGAAGAAAGAGTGAGTGACATGGAAGACAAGTTGATGGCAAGGATAGAAGCTGAGGAAAAAAGAGAAAACAATTAAAACACCGTGAGGAAAAGTTAAGGGAAATAAATGACAGCCTCAGAAGGAAAAATCTAGGTTTCACTTGGGGATCTAGGGGGTGCTACAATGGAGAGAGGAACAGAAGGCATATTTCAACAAATCATAGCTTAGAACAACCCTAATCTGGGGACGGAAACACATATTCAGATCCAGGAGATGGAGACTTCTCCCCCTAATCAAAAAAACACTTCTACACCTGGAAATTTAATAGTGAAACTTGCAAATTCCAAAGATAAAGAGAAAATCCTTAAAACAGCAAGAGACAAGGGATCCCTAACTTACATGGGGAGAAATATTAGATTAACAGCAGACCTCTCCACAGAGACCCGGCAGGCCAGA